AAGACGAAAATCAAGAATATCAATTTCTTGACTGAGACTTCATTAAAAAGTTACTAAAAAATTAAATTAAAAAATTTCAAATCATTTTGAAAAAATTATTTTTGTTTGTGGGGCTCAATTACAATCATTTTTGGTGAATACACATATTCCTGAAATCCTACCCATTTTTTAGAAAAAAAATCAGTACGGGCGGAACTTTAAACGTTAACAAATTTTTAACAAAACCTCCATCAACAAATTAGTTTTCTTGATTTTCGTCTTATTTTGGCCACTAGAATTTCCCATTCAAATTTTTCCTAGGTGTGGCCGAACAGCCTGTATATATGTATTATACAATTCTAAAGAAATTTTACCTTAATTTTAAGAAAATCCGTCAGTGAATTTATCAACGATCAATTTATTTAAAAATGTATATATGTATATTCATTATTCAAAGATTTATATACATTTTAAAATTCTAACGAATTTTTACCCTTAACAATATTTACCCGTTCCGAACTATTAACCCTCTGCACTCCTATGTCGAATGTGACTCGACATCAGTTTTTATTTCAGGAACTCCTTTGTCGAGTCCCACTCGACATTTTTTCAAGTCCAAACCAAAGAGATATACACTTAAAAATTAAAAAATACAATATTTTTTAATTAACGTAAATTTCAAATGAAACATTTAAAAGCATTGGGAGCAACTGGTAACAAGATTTAAATATAATTCGGAGTGCAAAGGGTTAATATTTTGATACTCCTTTACCATTAAAAACTGTATTTATGGTGCTTAAATTTAGGTGGAACTCTAGAATAATAAATTCAATCATTATTTTTTTATTATATATTTTGTACTATGTTTTTACGAGGACCTAAAAAATAATCTAATTGATCGACAGTGTAAGAGTTACTCGTTTAGAATTTATCATATAAACAATTACTATCTATTTAGCAAGATGATTAAATTTTTAAATAAAGAAGAAATTATTCCCTAACGTTTTTCGGTTAAATTTTCATTACGATGTTTTTTATGATTTAGATCTAAAAAGATCTTCGATTCAGTCTACTGTGCGACTGTGTGCGATCATTAGTTACCGCGGCAATAGTAATTAACCGAGCACGTGCAGATTTCAACAGAGCGTCGATACACACTGTGTCGAACACTTCCTTCAAAATAAACTCGCCTAACGACGTTGTTACGCCGCGAGGATGTTAAACGGCATTGAAACACGTCATCTTTATGTTCGTGGTTATAATGTCCCCTGGAAACTTAAATATTTGCACGCCAATGGTTTCGTGGAACTCGAAGACGCTTATCACGATTGATTGCATATCTGCATACGAAAGTCGTTAATTAGGATGACTTTACGGTATACGGAGTACGAAACACAGCTGAGCAAAATTTTTATCTAGATACAAACATCGATAACGAATAAAAGATACGCTGCCTGTCCATTGCTCGTTAACCTTCAACCTTTTATATTAATATCCTTTTTTTATTTTTATAACAAATAACTGACCTCTTTAAAAATATTATTATCGCAATCTAGATAAAATTTTGAAAAATTTGAGGTACAGGTAGCCCTCCTACAACACGACATCCTATAACACGGTTTCGCTATAATACGATTCATAAATTGCGAGAACCCTCCTACAACACGGCATCTTATACAGTGAAAACTCGATAAATGTCGCTACTCCGGGTCCGGTCAGCAACATTTACGGAATAGGAGAATCGTCTTTCGAATTTGATTGTAGTTTGCCGACGCTTCGAACGTAGAAAGAGTCAGTAGCTAAAGAAGAAAGAGGGACTGAAACTCGGATTTATCGCCCCAGTTTAAATATCCGCGTCAGTGTGACCACAGTACTGCACAGAAGAAAGTTTTTTATTTTTTACTTTTTGTTAATAAAAATTTCACTATCATGTTGGGGAGATTTCTCTGATTAAAATGAGGCTAAACACGATATAAATCGGTCAATATTTGGTAGCATAATATTGAATTAAATATTGTACTTGCGAGTCTTTCTCTCTTTATTTATCCTTCTTGTGCTGTCCTTTTCTATGTTCGGAAATATCAAAGAACGACGCATCGAGGTGCTGGCTACATTTATCGAACGGGAGGTAGCTATTTTCAAACGGAACGGTTCCACCGTTTCGTAAGTGATCAAAAACTGCAACACTTATGAAATAGGGGGTTTCGTTAGCTACCACTGTTCGATAAATGTACCAATCCACTGACCTTGCGAAGATACGAGTACACAATATTTAATTCAATATTATGGTAACAAATATTGGCCGATTTATATCGTGTTTAATCTCATTTTAATTAGAAAAATCTCCCCCACATGATAGTAAAATTATTATTAAAAAATAGTAAAAAATAAAAAACTTTCTTCTGTACAGTAGTGTGGTCACACTGACTGGGACATTTAAACGCAGGTGACGAGGGCAATAAAGATATTTAAAGAAAGCCGCTTCGTCTCCGGTTACACTTCGCCTCACTGGTTCAAGGGGGATCCCCCTAGTGGTGGGGATAAAAATGTATCACTTACGGAACAGCTCTTGAGGACATTTATCGAGTATTCACTGTAATATGGTTTCGCTTTAACACGATAAGAAAATTGCGAAAACCTTTGCACAACACTGTACTTCTACAGCACTGAATAACATGATTTATGCTTAACATATTTAAAAACTAAATTACCTTAAAATAATGACGCGAAGGAACAATGAACTAAATATAGTGGCTTTATATGAAAAAATATAAAAAAATTATAATTTATTAAATTAAGGTTGCGTTAAATTGAAATAATATTTTTTATATTTTTGTTTTGTTTTGTGTTATACACACATTTATATTTTTCATAAAAATTAAGTTGCTTATGTAGAGTCAAAAAAAAAATATTTGTTTGTAATCAATTTTCGGAACGTAACTCCCCTTTTTGTACTGGTTCTGGGTCTCATATAACACGGTTTCACACAATACGGCATTTTCTAGGAACCTATCTACCGTATTATAGGAGGGTTTCCTGTATTTGAAAATAAGGGTGGTATTATAGTTACGCAACGCACTTATAGTAGGCGCTGGTGTCCACAAACTTATTACATTGCACCGATTATAGATGGTGCTGATATCCACAACTTGTTATGCAAATACGTATAGACGACGCTGGTATTAAAAGGGTTAAATTGACATAAATATTTCAATTATGCGAGGAATATTTTACAACCTTTGGATAGGCTATAAAGCTGAGCTAAAATTCTTATTCGGACGGAAATTTTGAATAAAATGATACGCAACTTCTATTCGGTACACACTAAGTAACAATTAACAATTGAACGATAGAATGGAATATTTAACAAGAAACGAACGAATATTAATACGTTAATTGTTATGACAATTTTCCTCATCTGGATTTATCCTCGACCTCTTAATAATATTCTGCAAAAAAAAACATTACAAAATTACGGTCTAAACGAGAATACCCCCTCAAAACAATGACTGCGATATCGGTTGTCCTATTAAAAATATGGAATAACTCTATAATTCATTCGATATTTTACAGCATTCTCGCTAACAGTAACGTCATTTAAAAATATACAGGGTGTTAAAAAAAAACCATTCAATATTTATATGGTATATAGGATACACTGTACTGAGTAAAAAAGCTTGAGTAAACATAGGTCGAAAAGTCAACCGTTTTTGAGATATAAACATTTTTGTTTGCTAGTATCATGATTGACTTAGTTGCTTATTTCAACTTCTTGGTGAATACATTACCTCAGTACTTAGATGATATGCCTTTGGCAGAAAGATTATCGATGTGGTACATGCATGACGGGGCGCCACCTCATTTTGTGCGTAATGTGAGAGACCGTTTAAACATGGTGTTTGGTCAAAGGTGGATTGGACGTGGTGGACCAGTTGCATGGCCTCCTCGATCCCCCGATTTAAACCCTTCGGACTTCTTCTTATGGGGATATTTAAAAAGCCTAGTGTATTCCTCTCCGATAAATGACTTAGAAGAATTACGTAACCGAATCCACCATTCTTGTCAAACAATTCGACAGAAATATGGAATTTTCGAGAGAATTCGCGATTCTGTAAAAAGAAGATGCCAACCGTGTGTAGAAATGGAAGGTGGACACATGGAAAATCTTCTGTAAACATCGAAAATTCAGTAGTAAGTCAATCATGATAATAATAAACAAAAATGTTTATATCTCAGAAACGGTTGACCTTTCGAACTATGTTTGATAAAGCTTTTTTACTCAGTACAATGTATCCTATATACATACCCTATAAATATTGAATGGTTTTTTTCGAACACCCTGTATACATATATATATTAATTTGTTCGGTATAAACGTCGTAAAGAAACATTGTATATACGAATTCGTACATCGTCTTCAGATTTGTTTGCTTTTGTCGCCGGAGACACTACGCCAGGGGACGAGCCAAGCAACAGACAATTATGCCGAATGGAATAGGACGCTTCAGTAAGCAGTACTAAACGAGAACGGTACATCCCACGATCTGCCGTGAAACGTCTCCCCAGCCGTGTCCACCGCGATCGTTCTCAAGAAACGGCCAGAAAAGAACAGTTTCCGAGATATGAGGCAGACTATGGCCCAAAGACGTCACCGACCGCGCGACCGTTTGGGGAAAATTGGTACTTGCTCTTATCTCGCGTGGAAGATTACGATTTATTTCCCGAAGTACCGAGCAAAGTTCGCTTCGTTCGATGCTCGTAATCGCGGACGAAACGATCGCGTGTGCGACGAGGATCGGTGAAGTCTCTCCATGAAACTCGCGCGACGGACAATAAAAATCGCGAAGAAACGAGGTGAAAACCACGGATTAACCTAAAATTCAGCTCGCGATCGAACGGGCCGGGAACGTTGCAAAGAATTTTTAAATACAGCAGGCGTAGCGATATTTCGCGATTCGAACATAATCGATACGAATTTTGATTTTGATATGAATTTTCGCAGCCGGACGAAGGAAATTTACCTTGTCGAGGCACTTGAGCTCCTCGATCGGGTAGACCGTTTTCTCGCAGCGGGCGCACGTCTTGCTCATCTTCTACTTCTTCTTCCTCCTCTTCGTCGTCGTTTTTCCTCTCTTTTCCTCTTTCACGAGCGCAGAATTCCGCGTACGTGTGTGTCCTGGCCTCTTCTCTTCACGAAACACACTGCGCGTACGTAAAGAACACGTGTAACACTAACGACACACCCGCGCGGCCTTTCGCGTCGGGAAAGATCGTGGAAAAACGGCGGTAAATCGCGTTCAGGTTTGTACGATTGTTTACGAGATTTCACGACCGACAACCGTCGCGGCTGAGAAAAATGCACGCCAACAGAAACGCTCCAACTGCACGGGTGCCACAGTGCTGCACCAAACTGCACTGCCCTCTCGTCCTCGTCTAGCCACAAAAACTCCTTGAGTGACAGTAATGGTGGTGTACCGCGCTAGTCAAACGAACTGCGGAATATTATATATTTTCATTGCGGCGTTTCGAGTGCTTTACTGTTCAGAAATTCTGTAAACAATTTTTAGAATATTTACTACAGCGAGCGCGATACTCGAGTCGATCATTCGTTTCTTTTTATATGTTTATTGGAGGATTGTTATTCTTATCGAAATGGTTTGTCTTTTGCACTGCGGATAATGCAGAATATAGTTTCACATAGAGACAAGCCTAATACACATTCAGTTGAGATTATACTAGTCGATCTATTTAATAAGCATAGTTAAACACTTATTTTTATAATAAAAAATATCTACTATAATATTAACACTTACGGCGCCATCTACGGCAGAGCGCCCAAGTGTGTTGAAAAAAAGTTCGCTTTCCTCGCTGCTAGATGAGGCACCAATCATTTACGATCGAAAAATATATTGACCTCTTATTATTAATATAAAATCACAGACGTGGTATACAAGTAGACATTCAATGTATTCTTTCGGCTCATTGTTCTGGGGCTCTAGAGCCCCATTACCATTTTCGTGTCACTCGCAACATTACCAACAGGTTACAGAAACGAACACAAGAGGAAGTGAGAAAGAAAATGGAATTATAGAAACATTTCAGGCCGCACGTTATATTTTCGGTAAAGAATTTCTTAGTGCGTAGGATTCCGGGAGTATGTCGATTCACCAAAAATGACAGCAATTGACCCCCTCAGCCAAAACTAATTTTTTTATAATGATTTGAAATTTTTTAATTTCTGCCCCCTGATCTGACTGCCATACCAATCTGAAAATTCGGAGGTGATTTTAGCGTCCTCTTCTCATGGATGGTGGTCAGTTGAGTAACTATTCACTGAATTAGTACTGAACGGCAAACAGCTGTAGTTTTTGCGTAAATACATGTGAGTTGACTATGGAAGGGATTAAAATTCATTTCTGTTGGTAACGTTGCGAATGACACGAAAATGGTAATGGGGTTTCGAGACCCCATCAAAATGAGCCGAAAAAATACATTGGGTGAAAGATCTACTCGTATACCTCGTCTGTGACAATACTCTAGAATCTTTGATGATTCAATGAAAATCAAAACTAACCTAGCGAAGAAGCTCTATAATTATGATGATATATGCAAAGCGGATCGCAGCCAATTTGCAAATATTATTTAGTTTTTAATTAATAATTGCATTACCCAGTTAAGAGTAATACAATTACTAATTAAACGGTAAATAATATTACCAAGGTCTCACCACGTGGAGGTTGCTGTGAATGAAACAAACTGAAGAAGAAACAAACGAAAGTGCAACCAATGAAAGATGCACAACCAACGAAGAGAGTTGAAAGAATTTTCAAAAGAATTTGTCTTCAAACAAAAATAACCTGCCTAACATAATGCCTAACCAAACAAATGCCTAACTATTAACCTAAATTCGATTATTATATCAAGAAACAATTATAAATTCGCAACCATTAGCTCGGTGTTACCCACGATAGAAAAGCTTTTTTATCGTGTGAAGCACTGATTACCAGGTCTCACCACGTGGAGGTTGCTGTTAGTGGAGACCCGAAGAGATAGAATCAAAGTTCCATCGATTTCCCTTTTTCATTCTTACAAGCTAGATTACTAAACTAGACAGATAGAAGGAAGCAATGTTCCTTCGATCTTCCAGTTTAGTTGTACCAAGTAATTATTTCGTTTAAAGAGGGATGAAGGTAAACCGAGGGAGATGCGATGTCGATCAGTAGTGATCGACGCAAGGAACGAGATACGCGACACGAACCTAGTAACTGGTCAAAAGGGTCAGCACCGTTGCCTCTTGGCAAGTCCGTTCGAAGGGGAAGCGAATCGACGCACCCGACACAGAGGTTCCCCATTTCCCCCAAGCATCCTGTTGGGAGCCAGCTGGACCCAATTCGGGACGTTCAACAGAGAGAGGGAGCGTGTGTCGAGGCTACCGCAGACAGGAACAGTCCCTGATTCCCTCTATGGCCGAAATACTCTTTCCCTTGGATCGTCTCGCTAGAGGACGGCAACTGACCCTTCGAATCAGCTAAAGGCCGATCACTTGCTTTCTACATTAAAGCAGTTGTGAGCGGAACGAGAAACAAGAGAATGGGTGAACGAGAAGCTAGTTGGTAAAGAATTACTTGGCATATACGCAGACGCATACATGAGAGTCGTCGATGCTTATATCTAATTTAAATGCACCAAGTAATTATTTTGTTTAAAAAAGGGTGAAGCTATGTTGCGGGATACGCGACGCGACGCGATGCTAAACCGTACAGCAGATCTTCGGATCAAATCGACACTACCCTTGGTAGATTGATTTCTATTTCTAGAAATCGATCTATCATGGGCAGACGATTAGATCTTTCGGACAAACTGGACGGCCGACCACATGTTTTAATCGACGAAACAACGGTGATCGAAGCGAAAAACGAGAGAACGAGTCGAGTGAAGGTACTTGTTAAATAATTACTTGGCAATATTGGGAGATGTATATAATAGAGGTTTAAAATTAACGTCGAAGCTCAAGTCTAGTCAAGTTAAAACTAAAATTCGGACGATAGGAGGAAACAAAGTTCCTTGGATGTTCTGATTTTGTTGTACCAAGCAATTATTTGGTTTAAAAGAGGGACAAAGTTAATTTGAGGGACTCGCGACGCTGAACCGTGCAGCAGATCCAAGGATCGAACCTACTGCCCTTGTTAACTCCATCTCTATAGGAAAACGGACGACTGCAACCCCGAATCGAGGTCTCCATTTCTTCACTGCAGTCCGGCGGGAATCCGAAGGACCCGACTCAGGATGTCTGACATAGAGAGAGTACCTGAAACAGGGTCCACTTCCGCTGGAAGGTGTGCGTTTCCGCAGAAAACGGATACTTCACACCTTCCAGCAGAGTACCATTGTCCCTCGATCGAGCTACCAAGGGAAGGCGATTAGATCTTTCGGATCAACCACACGGCCGATCACATGTTTCAATCGATGAAACAGTGGTGATCGAAGCTAGGAACGAGGGAACGAACGAGAGAGAAGCTACTTATTGAATAATTGCTTGGTAGGACGCGGAGACACGTATAATAAAGAAATCTTCGACGTTAATTTTAAAACTCACGACGAAGCTTAACCCATTTGCATCATCGCTCTACTTAAGCTTCCGCATCGAAACATCAGCGACGTTCAACTGACGATAGTAAACAGCGGAATATTCCGCGCTTGGTGATAGTAGACAGTCGCGGCTCGCGGAATATTCCGCGCTTGGATGCAAATGGGTTAAATCTAATACACTAAGAATTATATATCCCTCGGCGGATGAATCCCTCGGCGGTTGTGACGTCTTCCCTCAAAGTCCTTACAATTGATCTGTAACAGATCTAACCCAAAATAAAAACACATACCTATGTCACATATGTAGTACCATATTAAAGAAACTACGCAATTAGTGAACTGATGTATCGAAGAATGTAGTGGAGTTACGGGTGTGCGGGATTCCCGAAAATATTCAGGATTCTCGTAAAATATCCGAAATTCCCGAAAATATCCGGGATTCCCGAGAATATTCGGGATTCTCAAATATGTGCGGGATCCCAAGAATATACGTGATCCCGCGAAGATCCAGGCTTCCCGAGAATATACGGGACCCCAAAAATGTTCGGGATTCCCGACAATGTACGGGATATATGTATGTAGAATAATATCTGGGATTCTCGGAACATAATTGTGTGATTGACTATCCATTCAGAAATATCTACCGATATTAAAATTCTGCATTCTCAGAATTATCGAAATTTGCAATTATTTTCTACAATATTACTAACATAAACATTCCTGATTAATAAGATATGTAATCTTCGAGAATACAATGGCTGTCGGATTCTGGTAATTGTTGGAAGTATGGAGAAACTTAAAATGTCGGGAATTACGAACATTTTCGGGATTCCCAAGAATTTCAAAAGCAGTGGAGAAATGGAGACCTCAATTCGAGGTTGCAGCCGTCCGTTTTCCTAGAGACGGAGTTAGCAAGGGCAGTAGGTTCGATCCTCGGATCCGCTGCACGGTTCAGCGTCGCGTAGCGGCGTAGCTTTTTAACCAAATAATTGCTTGGTACAACTAAATCAGAACATCCAAGGAACTGTGTTTCCTTCTATCGCCGACTCGTTCTCTCGTTTTTGCTTTGATCACCGCTGTTTCGTTGATTGAAACATATGGTTGGCCGTCCAATTTGTCCGAAAGATCTAATCGTCTGCCCATGATAGATCGATTTCTAGAAATAGAAATCAATCTACCAAGGGTAGTGTCAATTCGATCCGAAGATCTGCTGTACGGTTCAGCATCGCGTCGCGTCGCGTATCCCACAATATAGCTTCACCCCTTTTTAAACAAAATAATTACTTGGTACTTTTAAATTAGATATAAGCATCGACGACTCCCATGTATGCGTCTGTGTATATGCCAAGTAATTCTTTACCAACTAGCTTCTCGTTCACCCATTCTCTTGTGGCGTCGCCTCCCATGCTCGCCACCAGAGGGGTCGCGCTCTCACAAGCGCTCGACCGACCCCTCGGTTGCTATTATATACATTCCTCGAACAACTTCCCAATATCCCAGTCGTCTAAGGCAGGGCCTGCTAGAAAGCCTTACTGACGAGTCCACTGGCAGGCCCGGACGAAACGCGCCCCCTCCTTTCCTTTTCTGTCATCCTACGATTCTCCCAAGTTCCTAACCCCCAGCCAGCAGCCCACAGTCTCATTTCTTGTTCCTGTCATCACTGCTTTAATGTAGAAAGCAAAAGTGATCGGTTGTTTAGCTGGACCGAAGGGGTCCAGTTGCCGCCCTCTGGCGAGAAGGCGATCCAAGGGAAAGAGTGTATTATTTCGGCCATAGCGGGGATCAGGGACTGTTCCTGTCTGCGGTAGCCTCGACACACGCTCCCTCTCTCTGTTGAACGTCCCGAATTGGGTCCAGCTGGCTCCCAACAGGATGCTTGGGGGAAATGGGGAGAACCTCTGTGTCGGGTGCGTCGATTCGCTTCCCCCTTTGATCAGACTTGCCAAGAGGCAACGGAGCTGACACTTTTTGACCAGTTACTCAGTTCATGTCGCATATCTCGTTCCTTGCATCGATCACTACTGATCGACATCGCGTCTCCCTCGGTTTACCTTCATCCCTATTTAAACGAAATAATTATTTGGTACAACTAAACTGTAAGATCGAACGAACATTGCTTCCTTCTATCTCTCTAGTTTAGTAATCTAGCTTGTAAGAATGTAAAAGGAAAGTCGCTGGAACTTTGATCCCATCTATCTCCCCTCGGGTCTTCACTCGCAGCAACCTCCACTTGGTGAGACCTGGTAATCAGTGCTTCACACGATAAAAAAGCTTTTCTATCGTGGGTAACACCGAGCTAATGGTTGCGAATTTATAATTGTTTCTTGTAATAATAAATGAATTTAGATTTATAGTCAGGCAGGTGTTTGGTTAGGCATTATGTTAGGCAGGTTATTTTTATTGGAAGACAAATTCTGTTGAATACTCTTTTAACTCTCCTCGTTTGTTGTGCATCTGTCATTGGTTGCACTTTCGTTTGTTTCTTCATCGACCAACGATCGTTGGTTACAGAAGATCTTTATTAATGGAGGGTGGTTGTGAATCGATTAGGGCGGGTCCCCATTCGTAACCTCCACGTGTTGAGACCTTGGTAATATTATTTACCGTTTAATTAGTAATTGTATCACTCTTAGCTAGGTAATGCAATTATTAATTAAAAACTAAATAATATTAGCAAATTGGCTGCGATCCGCCTTGCATAGGTCATCATGAACATAGAGCTTCTTCGCTAGGTTAGTTTTGATTTTCATTGTTATATCAAAGATTCTAGAGTATTGTCAGAAACGAGGTATATGAGTAGATCTTTCACACAATGTATTTTTTCGGCTCATTTTGATGGGGTCTCGAAACCCCATTACCATTTTCGTGTCATTCGCAACGTTACCAACAGAAATGAATTTTAATCCCTTCCATAGTCAACTCACATGTATTTACGCAAACACTACAGCTGTTTGCCGTTCAGTACTAATTCAGTGAATAGTTACTCAACTGACCACCATCCATGAGAAGAGGACGCTAAAATCACCTCCGAATTTTCAGATTGGTATGGCAGTCAGATTAGGCCATGAAAGTCCATAAGGTGAAAAGTCTACTCATATACCTCGTGTGTGGTGAAAGGTCTACTCGTATACCTCGTATGTGCCCCTACGCAGGGTAGAATTCAGGGTTTCGAATGTTAGAAGAGTTTAAGTTAACGTTTCGTTTAATGCTAGGATACATTTTAACGGAAATTGTTTAAACATCGTGTCAGTTTCATAAGAGCTTCTCGAGACACAAGTTGAACTCTCCCATATTCTATATTCGCGCTTATAAATAGGCAGAACGGCTAAAAAGGTAGAAGTGGCTGCCATCTAGCGTCGAAGATCGCGAACTATTTCACGACAAACTTGAACGTTTTCCCACCAGGTTTTTTTACATTTTATTTTCGGGAAAAGAATTTTTTTTTGGAAAATGCGTAGGATTTCGAGGGTATGTGTATTCACGAAAAATGATTGTAATCGACCCCCTCAAGTAAAAATAATTTTTTCAGAATGATTTAAAATTTTTTAATTTTGTCGACGGAGTCCACCTACTCGAATTGTATTCTCGAAAGTTTGAATGTCCTGGCGGCAGGGGAGGTGACCCCTACGTCGGATAAAATTTAGGGTTTCGAATGTTAGAAGAGTTTAAGTTAACGTTTCGTTTAATGCTAGGATACATTTTAATGGAAATTGTTTAAACATCGAGCCAGTTTAATAAAAGCTTCTCGAGACACAAGTTGAACTCTCCCATATTCTATATGCGCGTTTATAAATAGGCAGAACGGCTAAAAAGGTAAAAGTGGTTGCCATCTAGCGGCGAAGACAACGAACTATTTCACGACAAACTTGAACGTTTTACCACCAGGTATTTTTTACATTTTATTTTTGGGAAAAGAATTTTTTTCTCGAAAATGCGTAGGATTTCGAGGGTATGTGTATTCACGAAAAATGATTGTAATCGACCCCCACAACTAAAAATAATTTTTTCAGAATGATTTGGAATTTTTTAATTTCGTCGGTGAAGTTCACTTACTCGAATTGTTTTCTCGAAAGTTTGGATGTCCAGGCGGCAGGGGAGAAGAACCCCTACGTGGCGCGATCTCAGGTGGCTGATAGGGGCAGCCGCTGGGATGGGATGCGGGGATGATTTCATCAACCTGAGAAGGCTGGTGACCGCATCCTCGCATGGCATCCCGAAGGTCGGAGCGAAAGCTCCCGCGGACCAAACACCGGTATGAATGTGTTACGTGTGTTAATGTGTGTGTGAGTGGACTGAGGCATGGGATATTTGCCGCGGGTTTTACCTAAGACGACAGAGACTAACAAGACGTGGCCGGCGGCTTAGTCCCATGTTACGGGGCCGCGGGCGCTGGTGACCAAGCGCCTGCGGTTGAGTGGGAATGCGGTGAGAGGTGTGCCTTCCACCGAGAAGGGCCTGAAAAAGCACAGCGCGGCGGGGGACTCTGTGATGGCTCGCTAGAGTTCCAGGTCCCTCGCCAGGCGCTTGAGGATGGTCACCGTGAAGTTTTAGCCGGTAAGAGTCCGGTATTACCAGCCAGCCCTGCCTTCGGGAGGGCCCGCGGGTGTCCATGAGAATTTACCCACGTACCCAAAAAAAAAAAAGAAAGACCCACTCCTACTGTATTATGTGATAAGGTGAAATGAATTCTTACACTCCATTAACAACAATAACAAGGAGATCTATATTTTACTACAACGCAATGCATCCTGTCTTTGGTTAGTTACGCTGTATTCTCACGCGGCTTGACTCGATGAGTCTTTTACAGTAAGCTGCGCGCGCAGCCGTACGGTTAGTTTACACAAGCAGCATGCGTATGCCCCATGAGCTGCAGTGTGGGCGAGACTGCAAGTTCGACCCCACAACCTTTTAGCCGTTATGCTTACTTATAAGCGCTGATCTTAGAAAATACGGGAGAACTCAACTTGTGTCACGAGAAACCTCTATTATTCTGATTCGATGTTTACACAATTTCCGTTAAACAAAATATTAAATATCTAAAGCGAACACATTCGAATAACGATTAAATGTTTGTTTAACAATTGTTTTTCCCGTATTCTAATAGCGAAACGCTTTAAGGTGATTTGAATTAATCGATGTCGTTTAATGAAATAATAATTGACCTGCAATGCGTAAAGAGCGTGTGCCGTATTTTTCTTTTGTGTAAATATTTATATGGCGTGTTACGAGCCGCGGTCACGTAACGGACGCGATGCAAAATGCATAGAAAAGTGCACGGTACACACGAGAATCAACTTGCCATGGCGTCGTAGACGTTACGTTCACCTCGAATACCAGATTTCATCCTTATCCATTCTTTATCGTGCATTTTCGATTCGATGACACATATAAATAAAGGATGAGATTACAGAGGATCCTTTAAAGAAAAAATAATTTTAATCCGAGTTTAACCCGATGTTGAATTTTTTCGTTGCTGCTGTATCTATTTTCTCGTAATATTTACAATTCTGACAATTATTTCATCGGTATTTGCAATATAATATGATCAAGGCGGGATTTGGTCGATTTGTGTTTAGACTATATTAAACGATATTGTATTACAACGAACATTATTGAATGTCTAGTATATACAAGAGAAACGTATATCGATGTTTGGATTACATAGCAGGTGGAATTTTTAAAGAACTGTTATCGTACAATCTTTAGGCGATAAAATTTGATTTGTTAACTTAGAACTCGTCGCGCTAACGCTCAACATCTGGGTTAACGGAGGATTAAATATGTCGATACTCGAACCATGTCCGGTACAATAGCGTTAATTATAGAGATTATTTGACCGATCAGTTATTTCTGGTTAATACAGAAGAGATTCTCTATTACGGATTTGCTGAAGCCAGATTACGAGCTTTTCGCGCTGACAATAGTCATAAACGCGCACGATTTACAATTTTAAATCGTTACTATCTCTTTTATACATTCCCTCGTTTAGGACTTTTTACAAACTTAACATCTAATCCCTAGAATTTACAGACTATTTTTCGTAGACTAGACAAGGTGAATTGGAATAAAACAGCCTTCGACGTTCGATTGTTGTTAAAAAAAAAATATTTTCTTAGCTTCTTCTGGACCTCGAATGCTGTTTGTTGTCAGATTCTGGTTAACCGTAGACGCAGAAGGCTCCCAAATGATAGTAACTGCTTCGAGCTGTAGATAAGAAACATAATTTTAGAAACTACTCAAATAAACATAAATTTTGTCTATTTTCTAGATTTTTATTTCTATAAGAGTGTCTGTGGTAATTATTTACTTTAGCGATTCCTCACCAATTTCGATGACCTTGAAATATGTTGTCAAGGTCGCTGTTATGAACATTTTTCTCTATACATACAGGGTGTTCGGCTACCTATAGTAAAAATTTTAATGAACGATAGTAGAGGCCACAATAAGATGAAAATCAAGAATACTAATTTGTTGATGGAGGCTTCGTTGCAAAGTTATTAACATTTAAAGTTCCGCCTGTAGAATGACAACCCGCTAAACAGCTGCGTTCGCGCGGACGGTTGCGGCAGGCGAGTGCTAGTGGTTCTCACGCAGCATGAAAAATTCTACTTACCGACATTATCGACAGCCTTAGATTTTTGTCCACTTATGGGAATGGGAACACCTTACGTTGAATAAGATTCAACTTGTCTTATGAAAATCCAAAAGGGCATATCAAAACTCGCCCAACGAGATTTTCACAGAGAAAGGGTGAATGTCACTTTCAATACACAATGTTGTGCACAAAAATCACCCACACACGATTATACACGCCCCACGATTGTCCACAGTGTCCGCAAGAGTCCACAAATAATCCTTTCAGGCACTAACCACTATGCAATTAAATAAACACGCACCGCGATTATGTTATTCGTGAATGTCTACGTGTACGTGTATCACGATTCTTCCGAGTTACTTACGAATAAAACTGTTATTAATTTTTCAAATACACTTCAATTTAAAAATGTAAACAGGAATTTAATAAGTATTCGCTGATTGTTTATATCACTGTATTTCTTACATGCTACTTAATACATAACTGAATCAAATATGCCTAAAATGTGTCGCGTGAACTAGCTTGACTGATACTGTTTTACGTCTGACTAGCTGGCCGAACACGTGCCGATGCTGCCCTTTGTCTCCGCTGTGTGTGAGAGAGATAAGCGAGGCGAGTGACGTAGAATCGGGGCCTGTTCGGCATATGTTTCTCTGAACCTCGTCGATCGATGGCACAGTCAGCTGCTAGTATTGTTACATTCTTCGCCGTGAACGTAAATCGATGCGAAAATTTCATTTATCCTACGATTCCGTTTTATATTCTTAAATTGAAGTGTATTTGAAAAATTAATAACATTTCTATTCGTAAGTAACACGAAACAATCGTGATACACGTACACGTAGACATTCACGAATAACATAATCGCGGTACGTGTTTATTTAATTGCATAGTGGTTAGTGCCTGAAAGGATTATTTGTGGATACTTGTGGACACTGTGATTTTTGTTCACAACATTGTGTATTGGAACTGGCATTCACCCTTTCTCTGTGAAAATCTCGTCGGGCGAGTTTTGATATGCCCTTCTGGATTTTCATAAGACAGGTTGAATCTTATTCAACGTAAGGTGTTCGCATTCCCATAAGTGGACAAAAATCTAAGGCTGTCGATAATGTCGGTAAGTAGAATTTTTCATGCTGCGTGAGAACCACTAGCACTGGCCTGCCGCAACCGTCCGCGCGAACGCAGCTGTTTAGCGGGTTGTCATTCTACAGGCGGAACTTTAAATGTTAATAACTTTGCAACGAAGCCTCCATCAACAAATTAGTATTCTTGATTTTCATCTTATTGTGGCCTCTACTATCGTTCATTAAAATTTTTACTATAGGTAGCCGAACACCCTGTATGTATAGAGAAAAATGTTCATAATAGCGACCTTGACAACATATTTCAAGGTCATCGAAATTGGCGAGGAATCGCTAAAGTAAATAATTACCGTGTCTGTTGTTGCTCTGTGATCGTTCTCAATTTCTTTTTATTGTGCACGGTTGCACTGTAGTTTCAGGGCAAATGGTTGATAAATAACGTTTATAAATTGCGTGTAACTTACAACAAAGGCCGGCATATCGATTCGAATAAGACATCCCGTAGCTACCGCAAGCAGGCTGGCCAGATTGATAGGGTTGGGAACCGAGCACGTTACCGCTGCAAAAGAATAAAGTTTTAATTGTGCTATTCTGGATGATGATTTATCGTATCCAAGATGAATCGCGAATTAGGTGACGTGGTAAAATTTATCGTTCGAACAAGTACTCGTAAATCGCTTAGAATTGCGTCTCGAGTTCATATTCACTATGGTCTAAAGAAAGGAGTTGTGGCGTCGCCTCCCATGCTCGCCACCAGAGGGGCCGCGCTCTCGCAAGCGCTCGACCGACCCCTCGGTTGCTATTATATGTATACATTTCTCGATCGACTTCCCAATATCCCAGCCATCTAAGGCAGGGCCTGCTAGAAAGCCTTACTGACGAGTCCACTAGCAGGCCCGAACGAAAGGTGCCCTTCCTTTCCTTTTCTGTCCTCCTACGATTCTCACGAGTTCCTACTCGCAGCAAAGCTGTGCCATAGTATGATTTTTAAAATTCCACTCTCCGTCTTACGAAAATATACTATCGCGTATTAAAAATACTAAAATTTTAGATGCGTGTAGTTCCGAAGCTAACTAGTGCTTTATCCATAATCGAGCCATTATTAGAAGCGGGAAAGCTTTCTCTTTAAAATGACTTTTGGTTTTTGTCGACCCGACTTCCCATTTCCGAGATATCGTAATTTATGAAAATAGGTAATTTTTTTAATTCGATTATTTCTGTCTCCGTCTTACGCGTCGGACCTCTTTCTCGCACGTGAATCGCGACCGTCGTGACCGAGTGATCCACTTACTTGCCAAGGCCGTAGTAAGAAAGTTCGTTGACCTCGCGACGTAAACAAACTTCGAAGCCTATATGTATAATATCTCCGGAACTAGTCACCGCATCGACTTGGAATAAAAATCGTCATATCTCCGGAATTAATTACGCTATCGACTCGTACGAACGCTCATTGTAAAGGGCATTTCATCCTCTATCTTATGAACATAATGTCTATTCCATTTTATGCTGTCTTCTATGTTTATTTTCATATTTACTTTGACATTATGTACCCGAAGAAGTTTTAGCAATTCCTATTGATCGTACGACTGGTGTGCGATAAAACTGGTTTATAGATGTTGGTTTGTCTCTTCCAAAATAGAAAGTTTTCTTTCCTTGACAAAAACCATCGATGCGTTTGTTTCGTTTCGCGTTTCGAAATACAAATCGAGAGGGTGCAGATGTGTCCCTTCCTTGGCTTGTTAGGCGAAGAATCGGATCGATTGGGTGTGAGGGTACGGGACGAACTTTTCGTCACTGAACTTTTTATTCAGAATGTTTCTTTCAAACTGTGCAGACATGCCTTCCAAGTATTTTAAATAATATTAAAGCTTAGTTAAAAGGAATTTCGAACAGATTGTTTTTTATTCCACCACTCATTTCCAATAATAAATTCTTCATTTAATTGAAAATGAATTTAAATTTGAATGCAGGATGTTTCCGTAATTACTACCCATTTTTTCCTAAGTAATACGCGAAATCTCGATAGGTTAATGAATTTTTTAAACCAATACCCTCGCGAATAACCGTCAGAAATATTCCTGAAAAATTTTTATTCCCCTTTTCGGGGAGAAATATAGGCGACACCCGTGTTCAATATGTCGACGGTAATAAGCTACCGATTGACAGGAAATACTCGTGAAACTCGACGAAAATTTATAGAAGCTACGGACCGGATTCAATACGCGTTACATTTCGTTTTCTTTTTATTTGAGGGGTCCTCGAAAAGCGGCTCGAAACGTCGAGGCACGATGTACAGCAAAGCCACAAGTTTTCCATGAGCTTTCCACTTTCAAACTTCGAACTCGTTCTTTTCTAAAAATAAGTGCATATTTACGCGGGAACTCCGTGTTCGTTCCAAATGGAATTCAACCCCTTTGCACCGGAAACCAAATGATTTGTAATATTCTTCGGGCTCGATTCGCGTAGAGGAGCTCCTTAAGCAACTGTTCGTGGTTTAGATTAACCCTTAAGTGGATTATAGTTTAAACCAATAATTATTTAATATATGTCAATATAGTTATTTGAAAATTTATGTAATCCTCCATTATTTCATTATTTTTTAAATGCTTTAAAGGAAAATTAATTTCCATTTACCAATTTGGTAACAATCAACATTAAGCAAAATAATTCAGTTGAGATTGAGAGTCCAATTAAGGGTTAAAACCCAATTGCTGATTACAATGTTCGAAAGACATCGAATGCTCGCGAATCTTATTCATCGTCGTTCGTTCCCAAGAACAGTTGAATTAAAAAATTTATTTATAAATAACGAGAGGTAATCGTGAAACTACTCTCGCGACGATTCGATAACACGTTTAGGGGAGAAAATTTGCCACGCTCCGGCATCCGGTTTCGAGTCGAATTGAATTTTGGAGGTGCCTCTACCGGTAATAAAATTCTTACCTTGGCCCGTAGTTGCAAACGTAATTCTTGGTGTAGCCTCGAGCAGGATCGTAGTAGAAGGAGTATCCACAGCCCAAAAGGAACGTGTCACCCCAGACGAGCTGTAAGCAATTTTAAATTTTCCTCGACAATTGACACAATTCCGGATTTTTTACTCTGTATCGTCAGGGAAACTCGTTCTTCTGAATTCTGTAACCATTCTTTGCTCGTTCCTTGGATATACGTGATTCGTAATTGCATGTATCGTCATCTATCTTTTTAGTAGAAAAATTAATTTAGCAAAGAAATTTATTTAATTTTGATTGGAGTTAGTTTTTTACGTTTCTACAATCCTTTTCTTACGTTCGAGTTTTACTAATTCGCTAATAAATTGTCTTTAAAATATATTTCTGCATTTTTCAAACACACTATTGCATATGTAGAATTATGAAATATTGTAGGTAAATTGTAGCAATTTTTCTGCAACGTTTCGTAGATACCAAAAACTACCAACTTGAGTATAGTGGCCAGTTTCGTCGCTGTAACCGGTATGATAGTGCTGGACTTCTTTGAACCAATCCGAGATTCGCTGTCGCCAATTTGGAACGTCGTCGTAGGGTCCCGGGGGCCTCGTCGTCCACGTTCGAGCCATATTTTGCCCCACTGCGAATCGATCTATGGACAAACCACCATTCTCCGATCAATAATTTATTCTCGCGAACTTTGAAACAAAAATTTCAGCTGAAATACCGGAGAAAGCATACTCAAACGATTCAACGATTCAATGTTACCATTTTCCAAAGTACCAAACGAGAAATTCCACCGAAATCTCAACCAACGCGAAAATAAACTTTACTCACGAACGTTCCTCGAATTATCGTGGATTTCCGCGCATCTATCCGCCCACCTCTGCGCGATTGCAGCCAATTCGTCGTCCCAAACCTGAAATTATTAGCAAACTACGGAAATTCGAAGAGACACGTGTTACATTTAGCCATATTAAGGTGGTATTGTTGTCTAAACTGTCATTTATTCGGTCCTTGTGATTTTTTTTTAATGATAGGTATCCTGTTTTGTACCGAGATTGTCCAGATATATTTACACATCTTATGAGCATATACAGTATTTTTTTCATTAAAAAATATTAAAAATTGTAGGATTCGTTGGTATTCTTCATTTTGCAAACGGATGATGCTCCTATCGTGCAATAATCGAGTGTGCATCGACGATCAGAGGAGGCGCAAAAACATTTTGTACGGTCCGTAGTAAATTATTTTCCATCGTGAGTCGTCTTTTGGGGGGAGATGTGGGTGGGGGAGGTTCGCGAGATATTCTCGAGAGCGTGTCTACGGGCGTATTAAAAAGTACCTCACGGAAAATGCAGCAAGAAGATTAAGCGAAGCAGCTTCTTACCATTTCCTTCATATTCGCAGCGGCTGGCTGTCCATGAATCTGCCCCAGAGCCACTAGCTGTCTCAGACGATTATGCTCGTCCAAGATGGCCTGTTTCTCCTCACAAGATAAGCCGACGTGTCCTGGAAACGACTCGATTAGAGCGCCATGTGATCAGTTGCACGAGCATCCCTGGGATTTCAACGTTTCGTTGACTAACGAGTCACACGATTCGTTTCCGATTTGTCGATTTAACACTGGCACTACCGGAAGTGATCAAAATTATATTTTCGATGAAAATAATAAAAAAAGTTACTCGACTGGATTTTTAAGAATATACCATACTTTTCTATGAGGGAATGAATAAACATTTATTGCGTTAAACATTGCATTATACATATCCTCGAGTATCTATCGTTTTAATTTTTTCAATACAAATAAATACATCATAATGTTAGTAGTTCTAGTGTTAAAGATACAGGGAATACATTTTAAAAAAATAATATTCCCGAAATCGAGAAATTCCTTGATCTTTGACGACCATCTTGTCGGAAACAGGAAATCCTATAAAATTTACTGTCTTTTGTTAATTTTTCCCAGGATACGATACACTTGTAAGTAAATTAATCGAAGGACATATTTTGTGTTCAGCAATTAATCTCAAAATATCTAAGGAACCACACCCCATTTTATTCTGTGAAGCACAACACATGGATCTCAAAATTGCATAAAAAGAATGATCATTTAACAATCCTTAAGAAGTTTAAAACTATTTTTGCAGAGTATCGAGAGTCGATTATTTTACCAACTTTCAAAATATTTTCTCTTGTACAGTTTCTATTTTCATTTACCTCAAGTGTCACTTCTTTTCGATTCTAACTTCTAAACGATTTTTCCCTAATAAATGTATAACTATAATAAAACGTTTGAATCGTACAAACGTAAGTTTATCCTTATCATTTGTAAGTAAACTAATTGGTCATATTTCATTTCATAAAGCACGATACATGGATCTCAAAATTGTATAAATATAATGATCTAAAACTATTTTTGCAACTACAGTGAGGAGCAAAACTGAACACACATACGACACTTTAACAAAAATAATTTTTTATTCAATATTTGCATGTAGAATACAAGAGAAACAAAATAGTTAGTATTAGGTTGAAAGGTTGAAAGTTTATGGACGAAATATTAAGCGTACCAAAATCTGAAATGTTTACTCAAGATTAATTGCGATGCAAAACTGACTACACGAACAAAAATTGTATGAAACGAAATAATAATGATATCACAAATGTTAAATTTGTTTGAAGAACCAGAAAATTGCAGATAATACTAAGTATTTTATTTTCTTTGTATTCTATATGCAAATATTGAATAAAAAATTATTTTTGTTAAAATGTCGTTTGTATGTTCAGTTTTGCTCCTTACTGTATTTACAATATTTTCTCTCGTACAATTTTTACTTTTACTTTCCACGCGCGTTACTTCGATAATTATTTACTTTAGCGATTTCTTACCAATTTCGATGACCTTGAAATATGTTGTCAAGGTCACTTTCACAAGATTTTTTCTCTATACATATAACCGCCGCTCAACCTTAGTTTCCGAGATTTTCCTTCAAAAAGATCGCTGCTACTACAATGAATTCTGTCTATACGTACGTGACTGTGACAGCGTGTGTGTAAGCGTTCAATCGCCGATTGTTTATTCTTTCTATAGATACATCGAGGCAACCGGCAATGGATGCATATAACGGATATACTTAAAAACTCGATTCAGTAAAAAAATCTGACCCAAACCTTACTTAAACCTAACTATTCTACCTTGTAATTAATATAATGGATTAGGTTCAGGTTAGATTTTCTCATACCGGTCACGCATTCATCTTCTATTTCAATTTTCTTTATTAATATTATCCAATATTAGCTTGACACAATATGTCGTCATGATTTTAATATAAGAATTTCTGCATTTTTTGATATAATGGCAGACATTTTTCCAATTTCTGTTAATAATAACGACAATAATAATAATAATAATAACAATAAAGAATAAAGTTTAATATTTTATCTCCAATTCAACCCGAGGCTAATTCAGGCATAAAATTATTTTTGCAAATATGTAACATGTATAAAGAAGAAATCTTCATGACAGTGACCTTGACAATATATTTCAAGGTCATCAAAATTTGCAAAGAACCGCTAAAGTAAATAATTACCGTTACTTCTTTTCGTACTAAACGATTTTTCCCCCGCGAATGAATGAATAATAATAAAACGTTTGTTTTAAGATGTAAGTTTATCCATATCGTTGGTTAATTCGCAACGAAGAGGATTCGAACGGCCATCGACGGTACACGAAAGTCTCCGTGGACTCGCGGAATCTTGCCACCCCATTTTCCCTGCATCCTAGGCTCTCATCCGATTTCTCGAGCTGCTGGATTGCCCAACTTGCCGGAAAACTTTTTCCGGGAATCTGCTTTAACAGGGGCGTTCCTTCTGTCTTTCCGCGAGACGGTGGAGCGAAAGTTCCACACCGTATTCTTTCCCCTTAATAACTTTCAGTTCTTCGACGAAAACGAGGTTCCCCTGATTCCGACGTGTCCCGTCGTTTCGTCGTCGAATGCAAATTTCCTTCCTCGCTCGGAACACGGAATCGGGAATCGAATTTCTAAAATGTGGCCCTTCACGATCGCCGCCATCTTAATTTCGACATTTTACATTTTTAGAAGCCGTGGGAGACGAATTTATATTCAACTGTCGCTGAAATACAACTCTCTTCACACTTTCTACACCTACGATATTTATTTTTTAATCTATTTTATTCAAAATAAACTCGTTCGAATACAATTCTAAAAACGAATTAATATACGGGGTCGTGCTGTTATTGTTATCATATTTTAAGCTTCTACGATTAATTGACTTTGACTTTGGCCTGAATTATGTTACTTTTAATGCTAGTAATTAAAATTTTAAAAGAATTCGTAGTCATAGTGCTAGACAAAAATTTCCTATATGACCCACATAGTGTAACTCTTTTGCATCCCTTCTGTATTACTCTTGTAAGTTATATTTACTAATCTCTTTAAATTATGTTACTTTAAATACCATTCAAATTGTACAAGAATTTGTAGAAATAGTACTAGATCAAAATTTCTTATATGACCCACACAGTGTAACTTTTTTGCATTATTTTTTACCCTTTTGTATTATTCTTTTTCGTATTACTTTTATAAGTAATCTTTAGTAATTTCTTTAAATTACATTACTTTAAATACCATTAAAATTGTAAAAGAATTTCTAGAAGTAGTACTATAAAAAAAATTTCCTAATGGCCTACTCATAGTAACACGATTTCTTTTTTAACACGGTTTAACGGTTTTCGATGCACGGTACTTTCCCATAAAACATTTTCGATTTGGAACCGTGGGTGGGTATCGCGAGTTTCACGGAACATCGACGAGCATAAATGGAGCGATACGTTCCAGTAATTCACTGCAAATATTTAGATCCCGATTGTCGCGGTTTAAAGCGACGCGTTCCTCGGGCGGTGAATTCACCGACGAACCGTTCGGAATAATAATTCGGTCCGTCTTGTTGGCTGCACGGATTTCCCGTAATTAACTAGCAGCTGCTTTAATTCGCTAATGTAATCGAATTTCGCGGCCGCGCATTCAGCCGCCCGGGGCTGAATGCGCTATTTTTAGAATCGAATCGATGCCCGGCGTCCTATCGAAATGTAATAGATTCCAATTTTCTCCCCGTAAATAATGCACGAACTGAATTATTCACGAGCTGGTCTGCGGAACGTGGTACTGAAAAACGAAGCCGGGAAACTTGACCGTCGCGTTTCGTTATTTCTTTTTTTCTATCCCCATTTTCTTCCAATCGTTAAGGGAGGAAACCACTGTGACGGCTGGAAATAAAGGCAATTTTCAAGAATTTTCTGGCCGTAACTATCGAAACTTTTTTTGATATATGATCAACGTTTTCGAAAGTACGTTTCTTGAACTACATCTTTTAAAAGTTCCGTATAAAAATATTAATTATTATAGCCATAATTTTCATTATTTGTAATAATCCTGAATAGCTATCGTTAAATTGGATCACGATTAAATAAGTTGCCCGTTGGATCACTTTAGTCGTCTATCGGTACATTTCATTCACACCATTTGTCGTTCTAGACTAAATACTCTTGATTAACATAGTTATCTCGATCAAGACACTTTCCCATTCATATAAAACCTTTACCACAGCAGAAATAATAAAAGAGTTTCAAACGAATGCCCCGAAGTACAGAGCAGTTACTTTCAAACGTTATACATATTACATTTCCTACATCTACTAAATCTTCCGTAACTTTGTCAGTTTTGCGAATTTTACTTTAATATTTTAGGGGATCATTCTTAAACCCTCAAACATTGAAAATTTCGATTATTTAAATCCGTCGCAGTGGTTTCCCCTCGTAAAATAAACGCAGACAGTACGAATAATTGACAACATTGTGTCTGGCAGAACTGGTCGAGGATTAATAAAAATAAATTAAAAATTAACGGTATAGCTAGTGGTAGAGTCCATTACGAGGAGGCGATTTTTCAAGGTTACTTCGAATCCGAGAACGAATTAACGAAAAAATTTAACTGTAAGATAACAGTTCCGACGAAAAAACTTAAGTGCCACTCACGAAAGTTGATATCGTTAACAGTAATAATTTATTTCTAGGTATCTTTCCACGATTCTCGAGATAAATTTCACGATCGGTGGTTTCGAAACACGGCTGTTCCGGGTTCGAATCGTTTCGTCGTGATAAAATCTAAGATTCGTCGCTGTTTACTGTTACCGTCGCTATTTTTTTTTCCCATTCCGATTCCCATAATTGGCTTGAAATTCAGGGGGAAGACAGACTCTCGCCGCTCTAGCAATTACTAGAGTTTTCGAAAACAATTTCTCTTTCCATTAGCTTCGTTTAAAATTCAAGCCCCCTCTCCGAGGCGGCCGAATTTAATTGCGGAAGAGTCGTCGAATTCCTCGTTAGAACTGGGAATACTCGAGTTTTTCCCTGTAGTTCGGTGAATATAATTCCTATTCGTATTTATTTTTCCCGTACATCGTTTTTAAGATAAGCTAATTCTGCATCGTTCCGTCTTTTTTGTCTTCGTTAAATAAAGTCTTTCGAGAAACCTCCAACGGTACCTGAAAGGTACGATGAGTATTATTAAAAAATATGATACTGATCTCGATATTATAGTAAGGAGCAAAACTGAACACACAAACGACATTTTAACAACAATCATTTTTGATTCAATATTTGCATATAGAATACAAAGAAGACAAAATACTTAGTATTATCTACAATTTTCTGGTTCTTCAAACAAATTTAACATTTGTGATATCATTATTATTTCGTTTCGTACAATTTTTGTTCGTGTAGTCAGTTTTGCATCGCAATTAATCTTGAGTAAACATTTCAGATTTTGGTACATTTAATATATCGTTCATAAACCTTTAACCTTGATAATTACTTCAACACGTATAGACATAAGTACTTAATACTACATTTTCGTAATACTCTGGTGTAATAGAATACCATTGCTCTTGCACTCTATGCTACAAATCAGTTATCGTTATTGGGGGAACATTATATTTATTTTATACCTTCATTTTTAAGTATATCCAGACATTTTCAATCGGGTTTATGCCTAGCGTTTGAGCAGGCCATTCCATGGTTTGAAATAGTTGACTTTGTAGTGAATTCTTCACACTGTTCGCACAATGCCTAGGAACGTTGTCATGTTGGAATACAACATCAACTCTGATACTGGCATATTATCAATTGTTTCTAGTAAATTTTGTTCTAAAATATCCTTATACGTATACTGGTAAACCGTATCTTCTATTCGATGTACTAATCCTACATCATACGCAGTAATACATCGCCACACTATAAGTGACACACTACGAAATTTCATTGTTTGCTTCACATGACGTGGTATAAGAGGCTCGTCTTGCTTTTTCCATCACCAACAACATCCATCCGATGAAATTCGATTGATTTTTGATTCATTGGAAATAATTACTTTTTTCTATTGATCCATATTCCAGCTTAATGGTTTCTTGAAAAATTTAGACGGGCCTTGACATTCTTTTTTGATAGGACAGGTTCTTTTTTTCTTCTTCATTGCTGTAAAATTGGCTTCTTTTAATGCTCTTCGAGATGTCCACTTACTAATTTCCTTTCCAACATCGCTTTCTAACAGTTTTATTTTGTCAATTTTCTCTTATCCTGACAAGATAATAATTTTGGACGGCCTCCAGAAGATGCAGGGATTTCATTACATTTTCTCTGTATTGTATCTACAACTCCTTGACTAACAGTAAATTTTCTAGCAATTACTTCCGTTGATAAACTCAATTTTAATTGGAAAATGATAGTATGTATTCTTTATATCTTTAGATAATGATTTCATAACGTTATATTGATGCGATTCTATTGCTCCAGTGTATTGCAAAACTGTAGTATTAAGTATACCTAAACGTATTGAAGCAATTATCAAGGTTGAAAGTTTATGGACGAAATATTAAGTGTACCAAAATCTGAAATGTTTACTAAAAATTAGTTACGGTGCAAAACCGACTGCACGAAAACGAATTGTACCAAGTGAAATAATAATGATATCACAAATGTTAAATTTGTTTGAAATGTCAAAAGATTGTAGATAAAAACTAACTAACAAATATTCAAAAAAAAATTATTTTTGTTAAAGTGACGTATGTGTGTTCAGTTTTGCTCCTTACTGTATTAGTAAATAATACATTTTAACAATGCATTTTTTTTAGAATCATCCACATAATAATATAATTTAACTCAAACGTTCACGATTCCTGCAATATAATAAATTCGATAATTACAATTATACACCTTTGCTGGAAATGCTTCGTCTGGACACCGTTAAAAACCGAAGGATCCTCGATATTACTTTGTTATTCAAATTAGTAAATAATAGTGTAAACTGTCCATCATTGTTGGCATTGACAAATCAAAATACAGTGTATACGACCCCGTAAATTTCTGCATTATGCAATACACATACGAATGAAATAGATCTTTTTAACGTATTTCTAACCACCCCTGAAAATCCAACAAGTCTTACGAGTCGATATTTTTGTATTTTATATTCCGTTTTAGCCGTATAAGATTCTAAAAAAGGCATTGCCCGTTAAAATGTATTATTCAAGAATACTGTAGGAGATTTTTATTGAATATTTGTGCCACGAATTGAAAGTGTTATGTTCGAGAAGGAATAGGTAACCAGAGACAGCGAGACAACAGGGAGAACAAAACGAGTGATTGTGAAAGACAGACGTGATTCTTATATGATATTAATTTGTGTAAAAAGATTGTGTGTTTGGTGTGTTTTAAATTCGTTTATATAATTATATCATTTGTACATTTGTTCCAAATACAATTCTCTTTGTTAAGTTCTAGAATAATATCGAGATTAGTAAAGTGGCATTTCTTAACAATACTCATCGTGACTTTCAGGTTTCTCGAAGGACTTTATTCAAGTCAAATTTAAAGATGAATCGATGCAGAATTATCTCGTTTAAAAAACGACGTACGGGAAAAGATGAAAAGAGGGGGGCTCCAGGTCTGTCAGAAAATGCAAATGACCAGGAAACATTGAACAGGAGGCAACTATTTGTTTAACGAGCTGCAAGTCCATTCCCACGAAATCCATTTAACCGGGGACTACGACATAGAACGTAGTCAACAGGTGTCGGCCGAATCGTTACGTACCGGCCAAGCCCCGCTCATTTCCGGTGCAAAAAGAAACTACCGACGCGTCCACTCCTGCCAACCGAACCACCGTCCCCGTTTAACATTTCGATTCGCTCGTCATCCGCGGAAAATAACTCGATCACTTTTCGACGAAATTATTTTCTCTACCATCGATTAATATTCTCTGAAATAAAACGAGAAATTTTATTTCGTCCCTCGTGCAAAATTCGAGATATGTATATTTGAATTTTTCCTGAGGGTGGTCCATTTTGTTCAACGTCAGAAACACTTCACGATCGAATTCGGAATGGTTAAAAATCACAGAGGCCCGAATTTCCGATTGGAAGCTTTTCGAAGGGGGCCGGAAAAGCGATAACTGACGCTCGACGGAGTTTATGGGACACCCGAAAATTAATGGAAGCGATAAATTTATGGGGAGAAGACCTGGCAGGGAACCGTAGCCGGAGGAAAAATAGATTAATTCGTTCGAGTAACGAGACGCGTTAAACGTCGGTTATGTCTGGTCACGTTCTTATCGGACGAACGTTGTCCGGAGGCTGATGGAAGAGCTGAAAATCACGGAACCACCGAGATTATTCAAATCGTTTCTAGCGGAGATGAATCATACGAACTCGAAACCCGCGTCAACGCGACTGGAAACAGACAATGACCGGAATTCTTCGACCCTTATTGTACGAAACGTGGTATCTGAGAATGGTTTGCACAGGTGACACTATCACTTTTCTGGGTTCTCCAGAAAAACATAAAATTACTAAATTTTTTCGTAAATTATACATTTATCTGTTTAAAGAAATTTGTATTATTTCTTTCGTGGCTCTGATCTCTCATCTAATTACTTCTTTATATCTATTGCTTTTAATATTCCTAACTATTCGGTTCTGTTTACTCTTTTATGAATTTTTCGAGAACCCTCGTTGCTCTGCCATTTTGCGATAGTTTTCGTGTTTTCTCTATTCTACATTTTTACTATTATTCATCTTACTACCCAACATTGCCAATTAAAAATATTTCTTCGTATTCAATGTCTCTAATTTTTCAAACTATTTGATTCTGTTCACTCTTTTTCAATTTTTCGAGAACCCTCGTTCGTTGCTCTGCCATTTTACGATAAATTTCGTATTTCTCCATTCTATAATTTTTACTATTATCCACCCAAGTACCATTGTTTTTAATTTTTGGAGCCATCCGATACTGTTCGCTCTTTTCTCAATTTTTACTCACTCAGTATCGTTTTCCCGGCGCACGATGGCCACGAATTATCCGCCAGGCCCGTCGAGGCGACGATCAACGTCAACGTAATCCGGACCACGTTTCCCGCGAGTGCCATTTTGCCGTGGAAATTCTATCGGCGGTACCCCCAGCCGATTCCCAGCCCCCTACTGAAAACCGACGATCCCGTAGCAGCTGGTAAACCGGTAGGATCCTCTCTCGAGAGAATCGTTCACACCGTACGGACGATAAAACCGGCCGATTTACGAGCCTCTGTTCGTAATCGAGCGACCAAGAGACACTTGGAGAGAACCGGTCCTTGGAACCAGGCGAACTAATAGCTGATCAGGCTCGATCCGACGCCTTTATATTCACCTGTCTCGAGGCTCGCACAATGCAATTGTCCGCGCTACTAGTTCCTCATGGTGGGGGACTCTTCACCTGGGTCAAGGTGACGGGGAACTCAAGGTCACCAGGTCGAAGGCCAACAAACTTGACAGAACTTTTTATTACCAAACCCCTAAAAGACGACCCTTTCTAAATTTTCTATTCCTAACAAACGAGAAATTTGCAAAGAACACCTTTGGAATTTTCCGGTGTCTTAAATAAATTTTTTTAATTTTATTTTATTTATTCAATAAACAGGAAGCTCCACTAGCGTACAAAGTAGTAGTCCATGATAATCAAAATAAGCTTACAAAAGTAACTTGAATGCGAATTAGGTAAACAATGCAGGGACAAAATGTTAAGAAAGTTTACATACACAGTTTTTGAATGATGCAACAGTACTTGTAAAAAAATCCACGATTGTTACAATAAGAGTTCACGATTAGACAAAGATGAAAATAAACGTAAAAATTGAAAAAAATTGCCTTTTCTCTGCAGTAGAAAATGAACCGTTCCATTTAGATTAAAGACACTGTTCTACGTTTTTGGAGGACTCAACAAACTCGATGCTCGATCTTATGTCCAGGAATGATTAGATCGAAAAAGGGTAAAGGTTAAAATTTCATCCACGATCGTTTTTTAGGGGGTTTCGTTGCGAGGATGATGTTTTCTGCTCGCAAAATTGGGGGCCAAGAAGTTTCGAGACTAACGCGTTTTAATAATTAACGGATCCTACATGCTCGCCGCCGTATTACAAGATTAACGACAGTTTCTACCAATGCGGGCTTGAATATAAATTCGGCGAGTTTAGACCAGAGAAGCCGCGGAGGAGGCAAACTTTCGAGAGTCTCTGTGTTCTCTAATATAGTGGGTATAATTATTCGTAGCCGAGTAATTGCATCGATTCACCTGGTAGGGGTGACTGATTAGATGCGAACTATGCTCCTCCCGCCTTCAAATCGTTTCTAGTTCCGGTGTTTTATTCTAAATAACCGAGATCGACTCTAGTTTGCAAATAATTACGTCGCAGGCTGCATCAATTGCGGAGCAATTGTTACTATTCAGGTACAGACCTTGCTTCTGTATTATTTTCAAACTATTATAGTAAATATTATTCTAATTAAACTGAATTAATTGTACAAAGTAACATGGCCAATTTCGTATAATTACGACTTCGAAAAATATTTTATTTTATTTTTTATTTATTACATAAGCAGCAAACGCCATTAGAATACAAAGTAGTAGAACATGGTAATCAAAATAAAGTTACAAAAGTCATTTTAAAAGGTTTGAAAAAAAATGAAAATCCAAGGTGGTACAATAATATTGTTTCCTCATCATAATACTATTTTTCTCGTTTCTTTCTATCTAAAATTAATTTCATACAAATTGGATCTTCCAAATTTATTTTATCGCCTGGTTATTATGTAGTTGCAATTTCTCCGGATTAATTGATTCAAATAATCGACGTTCCAGCTTACAACGATGAATTTATGGTTCAACGGAAGTCTGCAAATAATAGAACGATTAGGTTGCACACGGTGCATGGTCCAAGTAAGCTGCCAAGAAGGTAAATATTTTGACTTTTGCTCGGATTATTCATCGAGTCGATGACTAGGATCCTCCAAAATGGGACCAGATTAGCCAATCGATCGATCCGCTGGCGATTGATCATCGCGATTCTGGGCAGCAGACAGCCAGGCATCATAGTCGCATTGACTCATATGTTTCTTACACGTCGCGCATAAATTATCACGATTTTACCTCTTTTCAGAATCGATTCGCGAGTTTCTTTCTGCTCGACCGGGAGTATATTTAGCATAAAAACTGAATACGTTAAAATAGTTGAAATCCATCTCGTTTCGAACAAATGGTGCAGGAGCACGCGTTTCCAGAGGTAATTTCGGTCTCGTTAAACCGAAGAAGCGTACAAATGACGTCGATTAATTCTTCCGCGCGTCGAGAAACGGATCGCGCGTTAGTTTTGCCAACGCTAATCGTCCAAATTCTCGCGAAAATATAAATTTTCCCGTTTAAAAGTCGCCCGGTCGTGCTTTTGTTAAACCGACGCACCGAAATGATTTATCTTGTTCCCGGGGAGACCGCTCGCGAATTCACGTTGCATCGAGCACGTGCACTTTGGAATGCAAATTCCGTCTCCACTTTGCCCGCCAACGAGAAAATTTTCCGCGCGCGGGACGTGCCCGCGATGCTCCCGTCGAATTTATTTTTCTTACGTCGAAATTTAGACGCGACAGTCCGCGGAACGATTGCTTCGACGTTTAGTTTAGTTCACGGTTTCAAGCATTTACGTTTCGACCAATATTTTTTGAAAGATCGAATTTCGTAGTGCCCGAGAAGATCGAATTTTACGACGACTTGATGTTGGGGAAAATCGAATTCTAAAGGTATCATATTTTAGGGAGGAACGAATTTAAGGGCGATTGTGTTTCGAAGCGATCACAACTTAGGGAGATTGAATTTAGAATCGATCGAATTTACGGGGGATTATATTTTGGAAACATCGAATTTCTGGTCGTTGAATGTTGAAACGATCATATTTTGGAAAGATATCATTCTGAAAGGAATAATAAGATGATTGTAATTTATAAAAATCGAATTTCAGGGTCTACTAAAAATAGTTCAATGTCTATAACTGCACGATGTTTTCTCTATCGATTTCTGCAAGGCGTTTGATATAGATAATCATTCAATAATTATATCCAAATTGCAAGCCCTATATACATTCGAATTTACTTGCTTGGCTTTTGAGTTTCATCACGAACAGAAAACAAATTGTTAAGTTCAATAACGCTTACTCTAATGCTATATCTGTATATTCAGGTGTTTCCCAAGGTTCACACCTTGTTTTGTTCGTTAATGATATATCCGAAGCCTTTCGTTTCTGTAAATATTTATTGTATGCGGATAACTTAAAATTTATCATTCCATTAATCATCTTTCCTGTGCGAACTCAATTCAAAATGACCTTACGAGATTAGGTGGATGGTGCAAATCTAATAAATTATACCTTAATCTTAATAAATGCAAAGTTTTCGCAATGGGTATAAAAAATTCTATTTTGGAAACATCGAATTTCGGGTCGTTGAATTTTCGAGCAGATTCAATTTTGTAAATGATTTTCTGTCTGAGTTTCGAAGTAATCACATTTTGAAACGATCATATTTTTGGAAAGATATAATTCTGAAACAAATAACGAGGCGATTTTAGAAAAATCAAATTTCACGGCCTACTAAGAACAGTTCTAACGTTCAACGTCTATAACGGCGCAATAAATAAGTGGACAGAGTTCTGTTTATTTGGCATTTGTTTGAACTGGGTTAACACACTTATAAACTAATAACTTTATCCTTGCACTCGCGGTCCGCTTGCTCCGGTCGTTCCATCGCCAATGGCCGCGTGGTCTTCTCGAGCGTTGCAAATAAAATTAGTCGCAACACGGTTCGTTCAACTGGTCAGTCAAGTTCAAACAGCGTTCGACTTTCAGGACGATCGCATATCGAGTCATTAGTATCGAGTTTCGAGTCCTTTGCGAGTCGGGTATTTCAGTTAATGATTTGTCGAGAGGTTAATTAGCCCGAATGGAGTAGGATTTTGATTTGTCACGGACGAATCGTTGTGAACGAGGGAAATTTCGCGTAAACACACCGTTCGAAAAAAAGGAAAAGAATAAAACACAAGAGCCTAAACTAATCGTCGAAACTCGTTTGCATTAACGCAATCGGGTTATCGATTAGATTCTAAAAATATCCGATAGTTAAATGCGGTTTGCCCTGTTGTAGCAGCTTTCGCGGACCACTTGTCCTTATTTCAATCGCGATGGAGATTCTCAAGATGGCTGTCGAGCGTTTCATCCCTTTATCCCATCGATGTTCGAAACTTTATCAAAGTCGTCTAGAATCGAAATTAATAGACTCGAATCTATAAACTACAGAAATTGTATCGCGATATCATGTTAAATCGACGTTGCAATTACCGAACTGCCAAATTGCACGGTACAATAATTCGGAAATTAATATTCGTACACTGTGCAATCTGCATTTCACTCTAGCGTAATTTTATTCATTACGCGGAAACTAAATACCTTCCTATACATTATCCGTGATTCGCCTATCCAAAGAACAAAAATTATTATCGTAACTTGTTCCTTTCCTCCAAATTAAAGAAGAAAGTTCGAACTTTACACAGATGCGTTTTCAAAGGCGTGCACCTCGAGAAAATGGTAAAAGAAAAGTTTTATCAAACTTACAGGCTAGAACGTACCTGTAAGTTTCATTACGCGGCGTTCGAATAAACAGTGATCGTCGGTGGTTTGGTTTCCAGGGGTTGGTCTTCGATATTTCTTCGAGTTTAACGAAGTTACTATACATTCCCCAGCACCGGAGTTTGACGACGACGCATCGAGGTCGGATTGGCGGAGGCATTTCCCAAAGGAAGGCGGTCGGTTGTAAGAATCTGGCGGAAATTAAAGTTGTACGCCGCAGCTGCGACTTCTCTTATGGAACACGGATCCGTAATATCGAATCCTCGATGGCTCTGAATGAAAGTTGACGTCGACGTTGCTAACTCCATCGCTGGTCCTACTTCCTGGCCGTCCTGGGGGACCCCGGAGACTCGCTCGTTAAGGAAAACCGACTTCCACGATGAACATTTTGGAATCGTGTCCGATTCTGCCATTACTCGATCTCTCGACAAGCACTGCAAACCGGGACGACAATAATAATTCTCTATTTAACCGATTCGTGTATATTCGAGGATGGATTGATACAGAATTTACTTGCTTTGAAAAAGTGAAAAGAAATCCTTTCCTTCGTATTTCATCGTTTGAAGCGACGGCTAAAATTGTAAAGAAATACAATACAAAA